TGCACCGCATTCCACATCCCATTGTCAGCAACACTACCGAAAAGGGTGAATTTCAATTACGTACGTCATAATTTATCTTTCGTTATCAATTTCGGTGTCATAGATGGTAGATTGCAACTTCCGCATTGCACTTTTGTCACACTGACGCCCAACAAGACAAAAAAACTTTCTATTTACGATCTTACGAAAACACATTAAAATGTACGCCCCATTGAAGTACATATACTGATTGTGCAAAGTCTAATCTTATCGGTAGCAGAATCAAGTCATAGATTAAGATGGATATGCAGATATACAATAGGGGTGCGGTATATGTACGCGTGAATGCGAATTTATCAGAGCGTGTATTTCACACAGGCCATAGGGTATGACTCGTCGTCTAGCCACACTTCGATCGACTCATACTGAAAACGGATGACTATGAGTGAGAGATTAAATTTTAACCCCCTATGAGTGTAATATGGTTAACGTGTGATGCATCACACGATCACATTGTAGGGTGCGCTATGATTTTTATTTTAAGTTATTTTGCTACAAATAATACCGTAATACAAAACGAGGGGTGAGATGTGAAGCGGAACTGTTGTCTGTCGCTGTATGTCGATTCATTCTGACATGGTCATCATTAATTATGCTATTAAATTGTTAAATTCAAGCGTACAAAACGATTACACCAAAGTATTAGGAATATAATTGAGTGTATCGAACAATTTTACACGTTTTGGGTGCCAAATTACATTTGTCGCTGTAAATTGGTATTTTTTTGTTATTTATAATTTAAAATGAATCAAAAATCTGTTTGAAAGCGCATAACTCAACAACGCCTAGACCAATTTGGTCAATTCTTTTTTTAAATGTTTGTTATAGTCCAAGGGTGGTTTTTACGGCCAGAAAAATTCGAATAATTGCCGGGAAAAAGTTGGCATTGAGATTCAATCATAGTTATAGTTAAATAGTTGAATTCGAGATGGCGCACTGAAGTGCATTATTAGCAATTCTTTATAAAATTAATTTCTTTAAAATAAAATTGTGAATCTTATTGATAGAATTCACACATACTATGTTTAGACCAAGAGAGTAAAAAACGAATTACATTTTTATTTAACACAACCGGGATGAAATCGCGGGCAAAACCTAGGTTTTAATCAATTTTGACACATTTTTGACATCATTCATCGGTCATTCTCTCTTGCATCACACGTTCACACTTTGCATGCGTAATGCCATGATGTCATCCTTCACAGCGCGTACTTAATTTAGACGTTGCGTGGAAATAAATTTTATTGACCATGCGTATACGATACGAGAAATTTATGTCCGTTTTATTGCTCAAAACGCTCAAAACGCATCGGTAGACAAGACAGTTTGATGTTCACCGAAAACGAAAGAGTTTTAGCGTGTTTTACGACTCGTAAGAAGATTACTATAACCACGCGCAAAATTTCTACCCTGCGCTAAGGTGCAAAAAGTAATAAATATAAAATCAAATTAACATAAATTATTTTAAAACACATTGGGATATTTTTCTCAACACTTGGTGAACTTATTTTTTATATTTTAAGCCGGTCTAATCTATATAACGAAATAACGCAAAAGTGGGAGCAATAAATGTCAAAACATAACTTCGAGGAACTTTTTTTAGTGTTGGTCGTTTGCCTAGTCGACATAGTTTGAGTGTGACATTCTTTTTTTATGTTTCGGCTAAAAATACATTCATGTTCATAGCGTTGGAATAGAATTAACTAAAAAGAAAAAAAAAACAATCATTTTATCATCCGTATCTACAAATCTAATAATATCAGTGATTTTGTCAGGTTAATAAAGAGTAGTCGTCAACGCCTTACATTATGTTTAAATAATTGGGTTAATGGACGTAACACTCATTAATATCATTCAAAATTGCATTGTGCACATATTAATAGATATTATGGCACATTAGAGACATTATTCGGACTTGTTTTATGCTCATTGCAGCCACAACATGCATTGCGTAAGCGAGTGAGGTCACTGATGGATTTTTTATGTCAGCGTTTATAAATAAACTCGAATAAGAAATACATTTTGGACCAATTAGATTAATAAATAATTGATGTGATAAAAACTTGATTTATTTTGTAACAAATTAACGTATAAGTATAATAAAAATAGTAATAATCATTTTTATAAAAATTACCAGCTTTTGTCCGCGACTTCGTCCCGGTAGTGTTTAATAGAAATGTAATCCGGTTTTACTGTCTTGTTCTAGACATAGTATGTGTCAATTCTATCAATAAGGTTCGCAATTTTATTTTAAAGGAATTAATTAAATAAAGAATTGCTAATAATGGACTTCAGCCCGCCATTTCGGATTCAACTATTTAACGATAGCTATGATTCAATCTCAATGCTAACTTTTATTCTATAGAAAAGGGCGGTCTTTAGTATTTTCCCGGCAATTATTCCAATTTTTCTCGCCGTAAAAACCATCTATGGACGTTAACGAACATTTAAAAAAAGAATTGGCCAAATTCGTTAAGGCGTTGTGGAGTTATGCGCTTACAAACAGATTTTGCGATTTATTTTTATATTATTGATTTGAAAAGAAACGAACGAATGCATTTTATAATAATTTTCTATGACCTAAATACATTCGTAATTTATTACATTAAATATTCCTCGCCTTCTTTTCTCCATACACGCTGCTAGAATACTTTTATATTCATTAATACCTAGAGATTAATTTAATAAGAAATAAATGCTTGTAATGCTTTAATATAAGTTTTATTTGATTTTAATTTTCTCTGTTTCAACACAAATATCTAGGATATTAATATCCTCAAAGATCTCAATTAATCACGTGGCAATCAAAACAAAATTGGTTCTTTGTGCGCGCTCGCCGCTCTCGGCTTTAAACTTACAAATTACACACATTACGAACTAGGTGTGTTGATATTAGCTGCACGACACGCACCACACACAAGGTTCGTGTGGTGTTGTTGTGGGCGGTGGACGTCCACTAGACGATACGGCATAAATGGCATAACATTAACCCGTATTCTCCTGTATATGTGTACGTTGTACGCAAATAAAGACCTAATCGATAGAAGGAAGGAAGAAAGGCGCGTGAAAAAAGTGTTTGCAGCATATTGTCGAACGCTGCACGGAAAATCGCCGTTTTTTTAACCACACGGGCGAAAATATTGCTCCAAAAAGTGTTAGAAGAGTGTAATGACCCTAGTCCTGCTGGTTTCCACAACCAAATATGGTCAATTGTCGTGTTAACCCATCTAGTTCATGCCCACAATGTAGAATTACATACAAAGTGAACTATTATGCCCAAAGGAATATGCTAATGCTTTTATTCAGTTTTCTGCTACCGGTGTTGTGCAGCGTGCTATATTATTCGAATATAGGGCAAACTGCGACGCAGTTTTAACGACGGATATGAAATAAAACGAATGCGTGCTGGAAAAGCTAAAGACCAACCTGCTGCTGAATTTACTACGCGACTATTACATATTCTACAAGTATTAAAGTTTTGTGATTGCAAAGACAAAAAATAAGTAGAACACGTCATAAAAACAAGAGTTATATTTTTCTTAGAATAAATTTAATAATACGCATAACCAAATTTTTAAAAGTTTGACATTTGATGTATAATAAGTTGCCTACATAAAGAAATATTTTTCTATTGCTAAACTGTCCCAGTTTATTTTATTGTGCGATCATTGTGATAATGATATAGTTTAGTGGTGAATCAGAAATGAATTGAAGCGCGTGCCTGGCTTCGAACAGCCGACATTTGTCGATTTTCCATCAAATTAAACCTATTCAATCTATTCGCGGCAATGGCGGCCACGAATTGCGTGCAAATTTACTTCCCGCTTCGTCGCTTCCACGCGGCGAGCAAGCAAACAGCGCAAACACGCGAGAAGATTACTTCAGATTAAGTTAATTAATTTGCGGGCACAAAATACCGAAATCCGAATACATATATAAATGATATTTAGAAATACATAATTTAATCATTCGGTCATGCATGTAATGGCGGAGTCTGATTGGACTATTATTAAATATAAGTGAAATGATCTAATACTCTTACCAATTCAATTAAATTCGTATGTGAATTTGGTACAACGTATAATTAAATAATCGGCCACTCATCAAAATCAATTTAATTGCTTAATATGTTCAATGTTTTATATTATATTAAATTGATGAAATAATTTCGAATATTTTATTATTGGAGTAAAAATTTGTTAAAATTAACAAAAAAACATTAAATTTAATTTAAATATAATACGTGTGTGTTTTTTATTGCTTACACCTTTGATTTCGGCCTTAAGTTCTTCAACATTCTCTAACGGGTCTTTTAACATTTTAAACACTTTTTTCGTCTACGTTACCTCGCCGTGCTCGTTTATCTAACTCAACATCGTTACAAACTTCAAACCATCAACCATGATATACACTTGTATTTCGTTAATGAGTGTTAGTTAGTGAATTTTTCTATTCTGATTCTTCATTATCTACCTTGGCAACAATACAAATATTTTTAAATTCCTTTCTTCTATTATTTTACTCAATATTTTTCAACACCTTGTGTTAAATGTCAAAGTTTACTTGTAATTAATGGTTGGACAAGAGTGTTTGCTATGACATCATCACTCAACACACAATCTGAAAATGTATGTACTTCTACGCAAATCCCATTTACATTACGAGTTTTACACATTTGACATTACTCCACATGCGAGTGCACAGTGCGAGTACTTTAGAGCGCGCATTTCCGCTCACCGAATAATCAACAATTGAATTGAACTCAAAACGTGAAACGAGGTAAAACGCGTAAAAGCGGTCAGGATTCCATCGGGCAGTTAAAATGCTTTGCACAATGACACAATCCGACAGTTCTTGTGCAACAAAACACATTGTTGTCAAGTTATTAATTTTATAAGTTGTAAAAACTGAGAAATGTGTGATTGAAATGTTTTTTGACATAATTATAATATAAAACTTACCTTATTTTATAAACTGCATTAAAATAAATGATATTATCCTTTGATTTATGCGAAAATAAATAATAATCCAACAATGGGTAAGAAAACGTTGCACAAATAATAAAATAAATAATCTTCACAATATAATAATAGGTTTAAAATAATAATGTCGATGTATCCACACTAACTAAACTTCAAGTCGAATTCTTTCAAAAATCAAATTTTTATTTCGTCTCGTAATAAACGCGTATGCGAGCGCTTTTGGCCACTGAGGTCCGTTTCGTGCTGCGCGCCAACGCGAACTACTGTAGAATTGAATGAGGGAGAGATGTGTAGCGTGTGTAGTCCCCGAAAGGCTGACTGCGTCGAACTCCAAGCACGCGACACATGAACACAACGTAGGACGAAAACCTGTGGAATCTATACGGAAAACGCGATGCGCTGCTGGGTCGCGGATGGTCATCCATGCAGAGAATGCCCTAAATGCACCCTTGTATCGAAGAAATAAAGAGAAGAAAGAAAAAAGCCGTGGAGCTTTACTTTAGACTCCCGAAATGTCTTTTGTTGGTTCACTTTCTTTTATGGGATAATCCAAAATGTAAAACCTGTTAGGGAGCTAAGAATAGTGCTGTTATATAAAGACAAATACTTTTGCATCACAACAGAATTAGGGTCGCGTAAACTTGACGAAAATAAACTCGGTAAGGAGGAATAAAAGAAAATTGATAATAATGTCAAGTTTTCTTTATCAAATTGTGTGAAAAATTGGGTACATGATATACATAGTTATTTTTTATTATATTACATCGTATTTTACGATTTTTATTACAGATTTAAAAAATAAACTGGTATTCTCATTTGTTATAATAGATATGAAAACATTAATAATAATACTTGTACGGTTGAAAGTAAAACAAAATACTTTTAAGATAAAAGGTTCAAAATCGCGTTTTCTTGCCAGGCACCTCCTCCAAAATGTTATAAATTAACTATACGTTTAATATACACTAAATAAAATGTATTTATTAATATTTTGTGATTTTTTTTGTGATTTTCTTGGATTTTACAATTTTGTATGCGAGTTTTACATGTTTTACGCAGTTTCTGATGATGCCCACAGGGCGAAACATGTAAAACTCGCATACAAAATTGTAAAATCCAAGAAAATCACAAAATTATATTAATAAATACATTTTATAAACCATGGATTACGTATTCAACTTAGAAAATAATAAAAATACACTAAATATTAACTAAATTTTTGTTTAACAACGTTTAGCAACGTTATGCTTACACTATTTTTTCTACTTTCACTCACCTTTTACGTTTCCACGTTTAGGTTTTAGTATTTGAACTTTTGTATTTAAAATCATCGAAATTTGATTGCACACTACTAGGGAATGTAAGGTTACAAATGCCTTTGACTTGTTTCACTGAAGGCGCATGATATTTCATATGGTTTTCTGCTGCACCGTAGCGAAATGCGCAGGCGTAAGTTCCACCTCGTCACTAAAGCCAGTGACTAAAGTACTTTACACGGCCTTGAACCTTTTTGTGCCTCAAAACTGTGCAAAAACTGGCGCTTTAAAGGTGAAAATAGAAAAATTAAAGTTTTTATTGCTAATTATAAATGAAAACAGTTTATGATAATGATTATGAAAATGTATATTAATTCAAATTTGTCAATTAAGTATTTAAGTATTGTAAATAACAATTACACTTTTTTTTCAATTCGTTTCGACAGAAAATTTTTCTTAAACAAAATTCGGCTCGTCATTAGAGAAAAAAATTAATTTATTGGACATTAATTTAATGAACATTTTAGAGTACTTCCAACAGATTTATGGCGTATGCATGATTTAAATAAATGGCAATGGAAAATTGTAAATTGCTTTATTAGTACAGGTGATACATGACGCTTTCCACTAAACGTTTTAGAAATTTCACAATAATCTTTATCTTTATTCCAAGATAATGGTATTAAAGATTATTAAAGCAATAATCCTACAATTACACACATGACTGAAAAATTTAACCATTTGCTGATTGATTTATATATTTTATTTATAATAAAACCCTAAATACAATCAAACACCTTGTAAAAGAAAAACAAAAAAAAAACTCCGACCAAAATTGTAGACACACTATAATTCCAATACGGAATGCACCGTCTACGTAAACGCAAAAAATAGTTAATACATGATACTACCTTGCAAATAATGACAAAATCGAGCGTGTTCAATGGCTGCATGGCCATCGCATAAATGGATACGTGTTCATTGGTTCAAGTTGTTCAGTCTTTCGATCATGTTCGTGGCGCCATCATTTGCAGAGAGTAGAATACGAAAACAACAATTTCGTGTGTGACAAACGCAATAGAAGAAGGTACGACGGAATTATATCAAATTAGTCACATGTCATGTCTTGAATTTACGCGGTCTGCTGTGGCGGTGCCAGCCGGCTAACAAATCCAATGCCGGTGTAGATGGCTTTACGCACAATGCCGGGCATACTTGGTTTTTGCGCCACCGATTCAAACATGGCGCGCAGTTCGTGGAACATGTTTCTAGTGTACGGGTTTCTGCGCGAAGTGTAACGCTGCATCACAAAGTGATAGTAAATAAATGGCGTCAACAAACCAGCGCGACCCCTAAATAATAAAGAAATTGGTTATAATTTCGTATGATTACTTAAATGAATATTTAACTTACATGCAGATAAGAATAAGCGTTACTGGCATCAAGAGAATTTCGGTAAATGACACAAGACGCAAAATATTGCGCGATTGGAACTCCACAACTGAAATAAGCAGCCGAGCGCCCCACCATGAGTTCTGGCCGAGTTGCTACAGTAGAAAATTATTGATTAACACAATCATACATCAATTGTAGACATTGCTTAATTAATTATTCAGCAACTTACATCCAATAATGTGAGGGAATAACTGGCGGCATGCAGGATGGCAAATAGCGCCACAGGGAACAGCGCCAATGTGATGGGCGTCACATACAAGAAGATCAACGAATAGAATAAATAATGGCAACTGTCTTCAGTGAGCACGCGGACGAAGAACTCGCGTGAAATCTGTACGCCTCCAAGGCGCTGGTGTAGTCTTAGCGCACTTGTCGCCGCATTTGCAACAAGTGCCTTGTAGTAAGCATTTGTTGAAGAACTGTAAAAATAAAATAAAAAACGGCAATTAATTAATGTAAAATATTTCACTTTGTTGTCTGATGTGAACACTTATGATTTGCAAATTGACTTGTGGTGAAAGTATGTCACATAAGAGGATCTGATGCTCAGCAAGCACACAGCACACATAGCAAGTCAGATGTAAAATATGAAACTTAATGATATGGCAACACATGCAACACAATTATTTGATCATGCAACTCATTTTGTATTTAATTGAAGAGCACAAAGTTTAAGGTCATTAGAACATTAATGACTTTGATTGTTGACTTACCTAAATATGGGTATAAAGTATCCAATGCTGAAGAGAATGGTGAGAACTCTTATGGCCCATAGGGCCACCTCAACTTTGTGTTGCATTACATGAATCTTTAAGGTTTCAAAGCCGCGAGAGCGGTTTTCCGAATTATTTCCTGTGTCACCCATTCTTCTTTTTTTGTCTGTCTAGAAATTGCAAACGTTAATACATAAATGATTGGATATTTAAGACGAACGTGGACATACCTGATTGTTATACGGTTATAAATTGCGTGATATACACGTACAATAATCCAGAGACTGAATGTTCAACGTATTTATGTGATCTGGGATAGTCACTCGCTACTTCGGTGCGAGCAAATAATACAAACGTCAGAAAATGCTGATCATCCGCCACCGAATGAGAATGAACGCACTAACTACGAACAAGGAAGTCAAACAGTGAAAGTGTAGTCGTGATGCGTCGTTTTGTGACTAGGTGGCGATGTAATACTGACAGCAGAACGGCAGGAAAGTAAAGCTACTTTCATACAATCCAGATTATTACCCCACCACTTTTTGCGGGTTGACCGAGGGTATAAAAAGGTAGACAGCATTACGATAAGTCTTTAGTCGTGCTTGATTGTCAGAAAGATTAATCTCTGTTTTCTAGGTTTCTCTCTGCTTTGTGTTTTGTTGTTTTGGGTTACACGTGGCACGCGGCAATAAAAATGTAGATAAATGGAATCATCTGAAGTAAGTAACCGCGTTTTATAAATAAAATGCTTTATAATAAATGGCATCACTCGGTACTTTATAAAAAACAAGTTTTTTAAGAGTTTTTAATTTATTATTTTCCGGCATAAATTTTGGGATAGATTTGAGAACAAACTACGAATATTTTGTTTATGTAGGTTATGTTGCTTTTTTTCTTTAATGCCAAGATCAACGAGTATTCCAACACTTGCTAATACTAGTTGCATATGCACCGTTCATTGCCCAATAACAATAAGCATGAATCATGAGTGCATATTTAACGATACGATCGTTTACAGTTTACAGCTTTAATTTTCTGTGAACATAACTGTTTATTAGCAATCAACTTATGGATTCAAAAACATGACGCAAATAACACGAAAGTTGCGAAAATTATTGTCAATATTGCACCGCCACATTACGCAACACGACCACATGTATATTGATAAAAATTGCAGGTGCAATTCTTATTCTTTTCTTAGCTAACAAACAAATTTTTCAAAACATGTAGCGTAGGAAGATAAAAACAAAATAGTTTAGTAGACAAATGCATTCAAATTTTATGACGATAATAACAGAAAAAGAAATTACATGTAATTGGCATTTGCAACGTGAATTCAATAATGCAATTTATTATTGTGATAATGAAATAATCAAATCTTTAATTAAGGTGTCCAAAACGACGAATTAATTAAATATCACGTGCCCATTGTATCACTACATAGTATAAAGTAAAGTCGCTTTTTTTTTGTATGTTTAAATCTTTGAAACTACGCAACGGATTTTGATGCGGTTTTTTTTAATAGATAGAGTAATTCAAGAGGAAGGTTTGTATGTATAATAACATCCATTAAATAGTGGAGAAGTACTGTTATTTTTGAGGTTTCTAATATGATGTTGTAAACTCTGCCGTCTACTCTTTGTGCGATGCTTCGTAGCTTCCCCCCCCTAAGCACAGACGTGTGCATGGGTGTACGTGTGGGTTGAAGTTGATCGGTTGATGTTTTTGTTTGGAGAAGGAAAGTCGCTTTCTCTGTCTGTCCCTTTGTATGCTTAAATCTTTGAAACTACGCAACGGATTTTTTAAAAATTGCGGACGTAGCGTTTTCGGCGGTACCGGCCGGCCGCGGTTTTCTCTGTAGCACTTTGAATTTCGCAGCGATCGGGCACGTTTATTATATCGGAGCTCTCCAGCGAGGAAAATAGCAATACTTAGGTAATAAAAACGTTCTTTTCAGCGCGACAACGTATCAGTAATTATAAGTAAGTTACGATAAATAATTGTATGATAGTAGTTTTAAAATATAAATTAGAGGTATTTCAGTAAAAAAAAAGAACTGAATAGAATAGGTATATTTTGTTTTTTATGATTGTTGATTATCTTTTGTTTCTAAATGGTAAGAATTTAGATATTTTTTACTGCGGCACATACTATAAAATGTAAAAAGTAAATAAGTAAAAATGTAGTGTATGAATTTAGATATTCCAAAGATAGCAGGAAATCTTCATGGTATAGGGAAAGGGGGATTGTTTTACTCCAAATTTAACGCGTGCGGGCCACGGGCAGTAATGAATAAATCAAAACTACTGGATCGATTTTAATTACATGGGCTATATATTTTATACCACAACGTTCACAGTTTTTCTGTAGTGTATTTAGTATCAGTATTGCAACCGTGCGAAGCCGGGGCGGGTCGCTAGTATTGTATATACCACATGTTTTAAAAACAAAAATAAGTATCAGTATACAAAAAAAAAACATTTCGTGTTTTTGCTCGCGGCTCGTATTACTGAACGGTTGAAAACCGCGCGCAGTCGTTCGGTGGCTTTTAGAAAGCCAGCAGCAGCAGGTATATCTGCAGTGTAAATTCTTTAACGCATCACACATTACGTTTTTTATTCTTTTTGTTTTCGTCAACGTGTAGAAGACCTCAGGTCTGTAGGTGAGGCGCGTTTCGACAATCAGCACAAGTGCGTCGCATGTGAAAGTTTTCTTTTTTATTGAAGTGCGTGTTTGTGGTGTAAGCAAATAAAATAACTCATAACACTTCTTCACCTTAATTAAATACATAGGTAATTATTGTGGATTTTATGATGTTTCAGCAGACTGTTGAGGCAGCAAGATGATAAACTTGTTAATTTATGGTGGAGTCGCCATCGTCGTGCTTTGCATCCTCTTCATTTCACTAACTTCGATAGTAACTGGCAAATCTGTGGATCATGTCGTCGCCGAAATCAAAAGTCACATTGTTTATAATCTCATCGGCGCAGAAGGAGTTATGGATGATATGTTATTGAGAAAAAGGAATAAAATCGGTATGTTTAAGTTATAAAATGAGTTTTGCGATGAAGGACGAGAGTTGATTTGTTTGCTTTTTGTTTAAAATGTTTACACAATGTATATACTTCCAGAGCCAGTCATAAAATCCGGTAAAATCGTCGTAATAACAGGTGGAACGAGAGGAATTGGCTACGAAGTGATTAAATTGCTGATGCAATGCGATATGCAAGTAATAATGGGTATGTGAAGTGTAAAAACTAATATTGTACATTTATTGAGTTGCAAGAGTTTATGCAGGCTGTAGAAAGGTCCCCGAAGGTGAAAAAGTCGGCACGCATATTCGCGCTGATGGTGTGAGTACCGGCGAGTTGAAAGTGTTTGCACTGGACACCAGCAACAATGCCAGCGTGCGTGAATTCGCGGCGATTGTGACACAAAATTGCCCACACATTAACTACCTGATTAACAATGGTAAGTGGGATGATTTTAATCTGCTCGGTAATTAAAATTCAATATAAAATAAAATTTTGGTATTTATTTCCTTTTATAGCTGGTATAATGTTTGCACCTTATAAGGAAAGTCCTGATGGATACGAATCACAGTTTGCAACGAATTACTTAGGTCATTTCCTGTTGACGCATTTATTATTGCCGTTACTGAAACGTGGAGGGACTGCAGAAGAACATGCACGTATTGTCAACGTCTCCTCCTGTGTTTACACCTATGGAAAGTATAATTTCCAGGATATAAACAACAAGTTAGTAAACCAAGTCTTAACAAGACTTAAAACAATTAATTTGTCTTTTTAAAAAAATTGCAGAAAACAATACGTGTCATTCGACGCATACGCCACTTCTAAATTAGCGCAGGTTCATTTCACAACCTACCTCAACAGATTGCTACTCGCTGATGGAATAAATGTGCAAGTCCATGCGGTTCATCCGGGCGTCGTAAACACCGACTTGTTCGAAAACTCCTTCGTTAAGCAGTACGCCGAATGGTTCATGAAGTTAATGTTTAAGGTAATTGCCCATGATTAACTCCTGCAATTAACTTCTGCTTTAATTACGGGTTGTATAGCTGTTTATGGCTTATTGTTTCGTGATTTAATCAGACAGCCATCGAGGGGGCTTATCCAATTGTGTATGCAACGATTTCACCGAAGTTGGAAGGTGATGGAGGTACTTACATCTCAAATTGTCGAATTCAAGAACTTTCTTCAAGCGTAAGGAATCCACAAAGAGAGGAAAAGTTGTTTAACTTTACGAAAGACATTTTAAATATCCAAGATTTCGGTAAAGATGTTTAATATTTTGCTGACTAGAGGAAAACACAAATTAACTGAATCAATTGGTTAGTGTATCATTTTTATTTTGAATGATGCATACAATTTCGTATTTTCATTAAAAAAGTCTATGAAATACATGTTAATGATAAAATATCAAAAATCATACCTACACCATGCAAATATCGACGATGGGTGCAAATGAAGTGATCCATTACAAACAATAACAAATATCCTTACATACTAGCTCGTTACAAATATCAAAGAATTAATTAAAGCTTGCAAATTGTTACAACCACCAGTTTCGCGTTTTTTTTTTCTTTGCTTTTGACACAGTGTTTTGAAATATTCAACAAGATTACACTAGTACAATGTGATCGCTACTTATTACAAAATTCCAATAATGAAAAAAAAAAAAAAACGCTAAGTGTTATAAATTAATTAACAAATTCACGAATTAATCCACTAATAATGCTCATAAGATTTGACTGACTGATGAACTCGATTACAACGTTATATGGTCCATAATTGGCTTGATATTTGTGATATTTACATTCACAGGTGATGTTTTCAAACAAACAAATATTTTCTTACTAATATTTGCTTGCAGTGACGTCATAAATTCTTTGGCTCGCCATACTTACAGCCTACGACTACCAAAACGTTTAAAAACTATTAAAAAAAAAACGTGCAAAATTGCTGTGATTCACAAGTCAACTAAGATTACAATATTTATAATAGAAAATGTCTTCTTTATTTGTATAAGTGCGGTCTGGGACCTCAAATACAACAAATCAGACCGGAATGCTTCATAATTGTACCATTACATTCACAGAACATCACAGCAAAGATAGTTTATTTAGGTAGTATCAAAGTTTTCAGGTTTCGACCGAACCGAAAATGAATTTACGCCAATTATTGCTTCGAAAATAAATAACCTGGAATAAATATATTCAACGCTCGAATAATAAGCAACAGTAGTATTACATTCACTGGTTTCTCAACAAATCAATAAATTAATGTGCAAACATAAATACCTGCCCATCTTCCCATACACCTACACGCGCGCATACGTATGACTCGTCCGCACACCCACATTGTTATAGAGTATGTGTTGGGTTTGTTCATTGCGTTTTTGTTCGTGTTCGCGGTTTACGAATGTCGGCGCAGACGAATCGCACGTGATTATTTCATTACCTGAGTACAACCTAATTTATAGTACGATTGACGATGTAAGTTGTGTAAATAAAGAAACGTGAACAACAATAACGCGACGGCGACGACTTTGTGCAAATTCGTGCAGTTTTCAATTCATTTTACTACAACAATTGCTGTCGCCTATTGTGCTCGTCTTGCCCTCGATGTGGGTCGTGTGGCTATCGTAGCGCAGCAAATCTCTTCTTCTAGCTTGCTGGAAATTCCACGAAAAGCAAATATTAGTTATAAATATAGTTGCGACATTTTCTACATAAAACAACGCTGATTGCGTCACATGTATGAGTCATTTTTGACTATTATTCAAATTGGTATTTTAAATGTTAAAAAATACTTTAAATAGTTAAAACCTACCTCCATTAAGTCCTCTGCAATTTGCATAAATAACTTTTCGACATTTTCCGCCTCTTTCGCAGAAGTTTCCAGAAAATACATATTATGTTGCTGCGCGAAATCTTCGCCCACATGCCGCGGAATCTCTCGATCCTCCCTGTCCATTTTATTACCCACTAATATTCGGAGTACTTTGCTGCTCGCGTATTCTTCGATTTCCCGCAGCCAATCCGGCAGGCAGTCAAATGTCGGCTGACATGATATGTCGTAAACTAAGATGAGTGCATGTGCAGACCTGTAGTAGCTCTGTGTAATAGAGCGGAACCTCTCCTGGCCGGCCGTGTCCCAAATTTGCAACTGCAACACACAAAAAAAATTGTAGTCATTTTAAAGAGTTTTTTAACAATTCACATGCCAAAAATGTAGAAAATAAACATGTACAAACCTTAACTTTTTCATTGTCTACCTCAACAGTCTTAATCATAAAATCTACACCAATTGTAGCGCCCTGTCCGGGCGGAAACAACCCCTGCGTGAAACGCCGCACAAGGCATGTCTTGCCAACACCAGCATTGCCAACAAGCACCACTTTAAACAGGAACTTGTAGTCTTCCATTCTGCCGCTCGTTTAGAACGTTAATGCAATCATCACTGAAAAACCATATGCTACAGTTAACAAAGGGAATTCGAGACTAGAGAGCGGTCATGGTTCACTTAGCGCAATTTAATTTAATAACGTTAATGTTGATGTTTACATTATCTTATAGATACAGTGAGCAAGTACATGAAATTTTCGTAAATTTATTACTTACCACTTTGATTACGTGCGTCCAACACTTTTGGACTTCGAATGTTCGGCACGTCGCACACAATTTGTTTATAAAACGGGCGTCTGTGTTTTTTGTTCGTGCCAGTTACAATATTGCAAAATTATTTATGTTGACTGTCACTATGACAGCATACGGCCAGCAGTGAAGCAGCAGGATTTTGTTTGCGCATGCGAAGTACGCATGCATTATTGTCATAATAATGACAGGTAAATACATATAAAGTAAAGCAACTTGATTTTTAGAATAATGTTTATAATTTTTCTTAGTAAACACTAATTTGTATAAGCTTAAAATTTCAGCGTAAAATTTATACCTAGAATTAGGTAAACTGGTTTAAACTAAACAATAGAGTAATCCGATAATGACAGTTGCAACGCACGCGCGCTGTTTAATTTGAGTTCCCCCGGCGTGCCGCGATCGCAGCGCGCCTCGAAAAATCCAAGCGACCTCACGCCAAACGCCACAGCAGCAGTCAGTTTGCAATCGCCATATTGGGTCGAGCAGTGCGTGCTAGAATAATCGACAAACAGTGCTAAAAGCTAGTGAACATATCGTTGTGCATCCCTAACGGACAACGAAACTGACCACGATGATCGTCTAAGGAGTTTCCCAACAAGCAGCAGCGCTTAACAATGGTAAGAAAGCAGCCGTAGCTGACGTCTACCGTTTTTCTGTGGTGTAATGTTGTCCGACTTTATCATCAATACGTTCACGGTTGATAACGTCACGAAAACGTAAATCGAGCACGGTGAAAACGTTCTACTCGCTCGAACCGAACTCATATTCGTAGGCAATGCACGAATTTCGTGCGATTTCGCTGCGCATTTCGTAATCAATCACCGAAATCGATTCGATTGGGCCGAGCACGCGGTCGCATGCACCTTTGGCCAGGTAAACGAGTACGAGGTGACCCTAAATCGCGCCATTTATTGAAAATCGAACACGACGTACCGCTGTAATTACGTTTTGTTGCGGATTTGTACCGGAATTAATACGCGACACTGCCAAAAATAAATTTATGAACATATCGTTGAGAGTCGTGTGCACGTGTATGCCACTGTAGGTGTGTAGTGTTGTATGCTAATGACTAACGGGGACATTTTTATTTTCAGAACTTTAAATAATCTGTGATACTAATTTAAATAGAGTGTTAGTTAATTATTCACGATGGCGACTAGCCAGGAGGTGAAGGACACCTACAAGTCCACCCTGCAGGATCTCACCTGCAACAGCAAGCCGCTCATCAGCGTGCTGACGATGCTCGCTGAGGAGAACGTTGCCCATGCGAAGGACATCGCCGAAGCAATCGAAGAACATCTGGCTAAGGTTATTATTTCATACAATTTCTTTTACTCTAGCGTTAAGTTGACAATAAGGGCAGTCATTTGCCTATCCGAGCACATTTCGAAACAAGTTGTTAAATTGTTTAATAAAAACTATCCAATCGAACATGAAATTCATTATTTCTATATCTTATCTATATATTTTTCATTATTGACGAATTGTTATTATTGCTTGTGAACCACCTGGAGGAAGGCAGCACATGCAAAGAATAAATATTTATTAATTAATTTTTAAGATTCCACAGTTTCCTTTTGCTACGTTTTTTTGTTTGTTCTATATCAGCATATATATTTTTATTATTTTGATTGTAATTCCCCGCCGGAGAGATAATTCGCTGCGCGTCAGTGACGAATTTGAGTAAAGTCGAGTTTATATAAAAGTGTGTTATCCCAAATTAGGTCCGAACGGATGTTAAATTGCCAGTGCTGTATTTAATCGACTGTATTGTCAAGAATGTCAGTGGACCATACACGGCGGCGTTCTCGGCGAACCTGGCCACGATGTTTACTTCGGTGTTTCAAGTGGTAAGTACAATAACACCTAAATTGTGATGGAACGCATTGAACTTGGCAATAACGACTACGACTACTGCTGCAGGTCGACGAGAAGACGCGCATGGAGATGTTCAAGTTGCGCCAGACGTGGAACGACGTTTTCTCGAAGAGTAAGCTCTACGCGTTGGATGTGAACACCAACCGGCTGGATCCAGCGTGGCCTGTGACGGCGGCACCACCGAATATTCATTTTAATCCAAAGTTCCTTAATTCGGCAGTAAGTTTTTATTTATTTTTTCATCAACAGTATATAATCTAGTACAGAGGATATTATTATGTAATTGTTATCGCGGAATTGGTATTTCCATACATTTATTTAGTCATGGTTGTTTATATCAAGGATAATATCACAATAAGCGATTGTAGATAAGTTCCACACAACAATGTAAACATATTTATAGTTTGTGTGTATTACTGATAATAGTACATGTAGTTAAAGTTGTTTATTTAAAAATGATGGTGGTTTAAACTATGTATGAAACATTTTAGAATGCGAAAATTACGGCCACCAAAGAAGTTGCCAAACCGGCGGCTGTAAACCCCGCCATGTTGCCGGAATCTACGCTCGATATGCAGCAGCAGTTGCTTATCAAACAGAAACAGCTGCTTGAGCTGCAGCAAAAGAAGCTGGAGTTGGAGCTGTTGCAGACGCAGGTGAAGCTGCAGGAACAGATTAAGAAGTCGGGCACCACCGCCGTTCCCAAGGTCGACGAGAGCGTGAAAATCACCTCGCCCAACTCTTCCAAAGTAACTAACGACGCGTTCCACGCGACAGTACTTAGTAGTCATTTGAATCTGTTGCAGTTGTTACTCAAACCGGAAGTTGCCAAACAGCTGCTTAGCGATAAAAAGGATGACTCTGCGAAGGTACTAATAATCATAATAACTTTTTGTAGTTGTTTGTTTGTTTATAGTGTATTTATGTATAAATGTATCTTTCAGGCGATGTTGGCACAGATTAATCAAAAGTTTCCTAACTCAAAACCAATCACTCCTGTTAATAATAGTATGCCTATTTTGGGTGTGCCAAGTGTGCGACCTCCTATTCGTGATCCGCGCCTTTTGCGACAGGCGCAACAGGCTGTTCAAATCACCCCTGCTATTACAATTCCAGCGGCGGGTATTGTGTCACTTGTTGACGATGCCGACAATATTATATTGTCGGACAAGAAAGGTTTTCGTGATGAGCCGAAGAAACCACTTTCTCGTATACCGCTTAAGTCGAAACGGTCGTCGTCACCTTCTAATAAGAGCAAGTCGACGTCCCGGCACTCGACGAAATCCTCATCCGGGTCTACCAGTTCGCTGGAGTCTCCGAAAAAATCTAGTCGTTCCTCTTCCAAGTCGCCATCGAAATCCTCGTCGAAGTATGGCAAAAGTAAGAATTCTCGTAATTCTGACAAGCGATCGAAACGCAATGATCGGCGATCACCGAAGAAGGATAAAGGGCGGAATTATCGTCGTGAACGGCCTATCAGTATTAGTCCCGAGCTGGATGAGAAGAAGGATGTTGATCTACGTGTAGGTGGACCAGCTGATAAACAAAGTAAACGTGAGTTAAAATTTATAATTTATTTGGGTAACTTGGAAATAATTATTAAATATTAATGTGTATAGATGATAAAGATACAGACTTACGAACCAACAGTACAATTGGCAACAAACGCTTGTCTTCTGAGGTTAATGATGGCCCAAGCAGCAAAAAGAATCGCGCAGAGAAGTTTGATGCGTAAGTTTATAATATTTGTAGTGCATGTTGAATATTGTTGCTAAATATTGTGTTTATTGTGTAGATTATTTGGTAGCGAGGATGTTGACTTGCGTAAATTACCAAATAAGGATGTTGACCGACCAATCACACCGCCAGCACCGATTATTTCGAATAAACCTGCTGGAACAATCGAAAAGGAAAACACCAACGGATCTCAGAGCAAGGAACCAGTTCCGAAATTAAGTTTGGAAGTTCTTCGTGCCAAGTTGGCAAATGCCACCAACGCTAACAAGGATTCATTGCAGAAATCTAGACTACAAGCGCAAGGTATTTATTTAAAACGCAATTTTATGTACGATGTCTAATAAATTTTGATTCATTTGTGTAGCGGATAAATTTAAACAGAAACAGTTTGCGAAAAAAGAAGAGAATAAAATCTTCATCACCTCCGCTGAAGAAGAGAATATCAAGTCTGGTAAAATGACCAAGGCGCAAGAGACGAACCTGATCGGCAAGATGATTGCGCAGATTGAGAATCAGAAACTCAAAGAGGCGAAGCGACAGGAGAACGAAGTCCTAAATAGTATGATGATGCAGCCGATTAGCGACGACGAGTTCGATTCGGACGTCGATGCGCCGACAAAGAAGCTCGACGATGCTAGTAACGCGCAGCAAAACCAGCGTTTCGAGCCGCGATTCAATCGCGAGCCGCAGTGGAAAGGCAAGCGCGGTGCGTTTGCGGGTAGTACACGTGCGACTCGCGGACGTGCTGATCCGTGGATTCGGCCGCTGCCGCAGGGCCCATTGTGGGCTGGCGCGCGGCCTCTTATCGGCCCGGTTTTCGAAGAGGACGCTTGCGGCAAGGTGGGTGCCGATCCGATTTCGGCATCGGTACCATCGCCGCCGTCGCACTTGCAGGATGACATCTGTATGAGCCATGAAAATATTAAGTCGATAAACATTGATGGTGAACCGCGTGATATTTTATTCTATGGCGAAACCGCAATTGCCTTTATGAGTCCCGACGATCCCCGCGAGATTTCCTTTCAGGCAGGTCAGAGGCGCGTCAGCTTCGATGACATCCATTCCTATGTCCTTGCCTTTAACGATCCGTACCGCGATGTGTTGATAAACGGGCATTGTCATAGGGTACGTTTAGGTGCACCAACGCGGGAGATCTACATCGACGGCAAGCCGCATGAGTGCTTCTTTGGCGGGCCGCCGATCTACGTCGAGCTGGATGGCAAATTGGCGATGATCAAGATTGATGGGCCAGCGCCGCAAGTGAAGATCGGCAATGTGAAGCGCACGGACCTGGTGGCGGGCAAAGTGAATCTAATCGTAGATGCGAAGACTATTGTGCCGATTTATCTCGATGGCCGCACGCAGTCGTTCGAAGTGGACGGCATTATGAACACGCTGCGGTTTAAGAATCGCTTGGGGACTGTGCTAATCAACGATCAACCGAATTATGTAGAATTCGGCGGTTTGCCAAAAGGAGTGATGGTCAACGGACGCAAGCACTTTATTCGCTTTTCAGTACTGCCGAAAGGAGTACGACCCGGGTTTGTGAATGTGAAAGACATGGAGGGTAATGGTCCACCAACTTCCGAGGGCGAGAATAGTCAAGATGGCTGCGATAATTCCACTGAGCGTATGCCTGCACAGCAGCCGCAACAACGCATGAGGAAGAGTCGGTTTAGTGATCATTCCCCGGACAGAAGTCCGCAAAATCAGATTTTGAATATAATACAACAACCTACTTTTGGTAAGTTTTCTAAAACTTTTCTTATTATGATAAACATGTTAACATAATTATTTACAGGCAATTTAGACAATTTGCTATCGATTGCATCGGCCGCATTACCAACACTTATGCCCCAACGCAACATGGGCAGCTATCAGATCGAGAAGCCAGCAACAATTGTCCCACCTCCTATTATCGAACCCCATGTACAATCTATTTCGCAAAACAATTCATCGAATTCTCAAATGTTGATTAACACGGCAGTACCTCCGCCAATCGCGAGTCAAACTCCTGCCCCTGCGCCAGCACCTACTAATCCAATGTTAAACATAAACGATTTGTTTCAAAAACTAGTTGCGACGGGTATTGTGACAACGTTGCAGAATCAGACTGCGCCAGCAGCAGTGAAACCTGAAATCAAGCAGCAGTTGAGTCCGCAAATGCCACAGCATGAGGTGGAACTATCGCCGCCGAGGATGCACAAACACGAAGTACAAATGAAACTGATTAGTTTCGACGATCCTAGTTCACTTAAAGTGTAAGTAAATGTTTTTATTTCATCGGGTAACATCTCATCATCATAGTGAGTTTTTTTGAAAGAACGATTTTATTTTAAAATTGTATTTTAGTCGACAGCCAGGCCTCGTTCACATGTTCTATGCGGGGATGCAGTGCAGTAGTTGTGGGATGCGTTTCGCTCAGGAGAATTCCAGTCTGTATAGTCAGCATTTAGACTGGCACTTTAGGCAAAATCGCAAGGGGAAGAAGAATATTCGCAAAGCTTCCAGCAGACGATGGTATTATTCCATTACGGATTGGAATAACTACGAAGAAATTGAAGATTTGGATGAACGAGGTGTTTTTGTGGAAATTTATTTGTATTTCTGTAGTTATTTATTTTTTGTTTTTATTGTGTGCAGAAAAATGTTACTTTGAAAATCAACAACTCAACCAGAACGAGGGCAAAGACGAAGAAAACGAGGCTGAAATTGAAATACCCAGTGTACCTGCCGACATCAACAATCAAGATCCACGTTGTGAAGTGTGCCAAGAAAAACTTGAACAATTCTACAACGAGGACAAGGAAGAATGGCACCTGAAAATGGCCATTCGCGTCGAAGACAAGACGTATCATCCATTGTGCTACGAAGATCTACAGGTATAATGTTTAAATATCAATTTATAATGAAGAAATGTTCTAAATATTAGTGATTTTTTCTAAAATATAGGCGAATGATACAGCCAATGAAACAATGGAAGAGCACAGCATATCAAATGTATCAATGGATACTGATTTGCTCGGTGATGTTGAAATGAAACAGGAACCGACAACCATACCCGGTTTAGATGTTGTACCCGATGAGGAACCACCTGTTTGTTTGGATGAATCGTCCGCAAGCAAACCTAACACGCCAAAATCGGAACTTGACGCAGACATGGACGAAACGTCGCAGGATCATAATGGTGAAACAAAGACTGATGACGAAGCGAAACCAGAGATGGAAGATGAACCTATGGACGCCGAAGATGACGATGTGATTATCAATGAAGTCGAACCGGAGCGGATCGTTCTCGATGACTACGAATTTGACGAGAACGGTTTGATTGCGGGAGTGGTCGTCAAACAGGAACCAGTTGACGATGGCTTCACAGACATTGAAAACTTCCATCTGAGCTCGCCGAAAGTCCCAGAGGAACCCGCACCACAGGGTAAGTGCTTTTTTGTTTTTACTTTGCATGCTTAACGTTTTAAAATTCGCGGATTGACAGAAGTTGTTCAATTAAACAATGTTTTAATTCTTACTCGACGCATAGATGAATCATTCATGGATATCGGTGAAATATCTGAACCAGCAGTGCCTAATGCGACAAACGAAAACGCCGAGGGCGACGCGACACAAGATCCGCGTTCGCCTCTCTCGGAGGCGGCGTGCGAAACAGCGCCAACGTCACCAACCGCGAACACTGACACGGCAGATGCGGAAAACACAACAACAACAACAACAACCACAGCCACGACAATCGTGAGCAGCAACGAACCGTTGCTTACCATGCCGACAATAGACGGTAACTTAGATTGCAATAATGCAGGCGCAATACCGACCGTGCCGGCCGGCGGCATGGGTGGTAGAATAAAAATTAATATCTCGAAACCAATGCCTGTAATTGCCCCGAAAGAAAATAAAGATAATACTTCAGACGTTGATAATAATATAGAACCTGTTGATCCCACCCAACCTTTACCACCAGGTGAAGAGCCGGTGCAGTTGTATCTGAAGCCGGCTCTTCAAGGTATTGACTTGAAGCAAGTACCTCCTGTTAATAAAGGTTCGGAGCTGACTGGCCTTTGTTCTATAATGTGATTTGTCGCTCTCTGCATACGCACCGAGAACGAGAAACTTTTTAAATTAATTGAACGCGCGATTCAAAGCTAATTTCCAATGATTTGTAATATTCTTACACTTACAAATGTTTGTACATAATCGATTAATAATACATTTTTGACTATATTTCATAGTTTTTGTATATATTTTACTATAAGTTAAGCGGACGACACTTCGTTGAATAGAGGCGAAACTAAACTTTCATTTTGAACGAGTTCTACTTTAGTTTGGGACGATTGTATTTGTTGAACAATGACAATTAAATAATTTTGAAATAAAACAGTTATTTTCCATTTGAGCAATGTATGGATTTTGTATTATATTAATTGGTTAATTTAAGTGCGTACACATATGAATAATTGTTAGTTTTGATTTCACTTTGTTTAATAGAAATGATATTTTAATTAATAAATATATCATCCCCATACATATATAAATGTTTATTATAACTATAAAATACTTGTGTAATTATAAGGTATAGTGTACGAATGATACTTAAAAATAAATATAATCAATAGACTAAAATTTGACTATTTAATTATTTCAGCTTCTACTTTCAGCCCTACACTTCTACGTAAACCGAATATTTTATGAAATTGCAAAAGAAAAGTTAATTTGATTAGTTTTTAAGTAAAATATAAGTCAAACTTTATTAAATCATAAAATTTGATTGAAATTCCTTTGTTTATGTGCATAATTCTTCGTTTTTTAAATATTTTATTATTAAATACGGTTTTTTCAAATTGCCACAGGAGGGCGCTAACACGTAAATGTGGAATGTATTGTTTTTCTTAACGGTCACTTGTTTGTTTACTCGCGTCGCGTCGGTGCGTGATTAGAATCAGAATCTCTTGTTGTAAATCGAATTAATTGATGATAACAGTGTCCGTGATAGCCGACCGGTACGTGCTTCATTAACATTCTACTGATTCTACCGTCTATCGTAATTGTAGTTAGTTTAAATTTTCCAAGATGATCCACTATAGATGACTACAAGCAGGTTGGTGCAAATTTTTTATGCGGTATTTCAAGCGATAAAGAGATAAGGAATAAGAGATGATATTTTATATTGTATTTATGTTGTTGTCGAGAATTGCGCGCATAAACATACGTTTGATGTAAAAGTATGGCGTTATAAATGAGTTTTAAAAGTTTCATGGTTTTATATATTAACATAACAAAACTGCCTTCAGCTATTATTTACATTTAAATTAACAAAACATTCGATTTCGTACAATAATTTATAATGAGCAATTGTGTGGCCATCGTGGAAATGGTATAGTGTCTTTAATATTGGTAATTCCCAACAACAATTGCAAATAACGTTCGAATCCTAAACCAAAACCAGCCGTAGGGACACCGCCGAATTTCCGCAACTCCAAATACCACTGCAGCTTCTCAGTGGGCAGTTTTTCTTGTAGTAAATAATAATCATCTTCCCTCAAACTGCCGCCCACAATTTCGCCAACATTCGGGGCCAGTAAATCCAACGCAGCTACTTTTCCTTTTTCAGTTTTACATTCTTTCATGTAAAACGGTTTCTGATCTTTGGGCCAATTTATAACAAATGTTGGAACATTACCGCAATGTTTCACCAAAAATATTTCATCTTCTTTAGTAAAATTACAATCATCGTTCAAGTTGCGGCCATTTTGCTTCAACACTTCTAGTGCATAATCATGAGTAATTACAGGAAACTGTTTCTGCGTCCATGCAAAATCCAAATCACCAATCTGTGCTTGTTTAAAATCAGTCTGATATTTATGCAGCACCAGAATTGTTACGTTTTGAATTAGTTTTTCTATGCAAGACATTAAATCTTCTAGTTTGTCAACAAATGCGGTTTCCAGTTCAAGCATATAAAACTCAGCCAAATGAAGCCTTGATCTTGAATTTTCTGCTCTAAAAACTGGCCCAAGTGTGTACACTTTACTCAGGCCATGAGCCATTGCTTCTAAATGCAACTGGCCAGACACAGTAAGGAAAACTTTACCATTAAAGTAAGATTCAGTCAGTGGCACATTTTCCCTTGCCATAGCTCTTTGAATGTTTTGAGATTCAGGCTGAATATTGAACACTTCACCAGCCCCTTCGCAATCATTTGATGTGAGAATAGGTGTATGAATATTAATATATCCTTCATCATGTAGATGTGCATGAATTGCTTGTGTTACACCATCTCTTATTCTCAACATGGATGCAAATTTATTAGTTCTTGATCTTAAATGCAAATATTGCCTGACATATTCTGGTGTATATGTCTTTCTTGGTGCAAATGGATACCCCTCCTCTAGGATGCACTTGCCAGAAATATCAATATCATCTGCTGTTACTTCTAATTGTCCTTTGGGATTTCTATCCATGCTTCCAACAACAGTTACTGAGCTGCCTGTGGTTAGATTTTCAAGTTGCAGTGATTTATTGGCCACTACTTGTAGTTTAATGTCAGTTGAACCATCGGAAATGTCCAAGAATGTTATTCCTTTCATTTTTCGTAATGATTTTACCCAGCCCTGTTGTTACATAGAATATTAGTTATTGTTTTGAAAGGTATAAAATTGTGGATTTTACCTTAATTGTAACTGTTTCTTTTGTTTTGCTTTTGGCGAAGAGTTGCTTGATGCTTGGTATAGCAAAGGAACTAAATGAACGTCCGAAAACACGATACATTTTGAAAGAATTTTATAAGTTTAATCGTAAACATACATTAGAAATTTTGGTATTCTGAAACTGTGGAAAGTTGGGTTATAATGTTGAAGTTAAAAGTACAAAATTGTGCAAATGCTTCATTTTAAATACTAATGTTAGTAATTAATTTAAATATATGTAATATAATAACATTTTATTTTTGGAAAAAGATTCAAATTCTAAATTACACTTCTACATTAAAAAAATTCAAATTAAATCTGCGTGCAGATGGCGGTGATTGCACATGTTTGCGTTAAACAACTTCATAATTTGTTCATAGATGTCGCTAGTATGCACTTATGTGAATTAAATTCGATGCGCACATCTACGAGAACCCGGTTTATTTGAGTTTGTTTGATGAGTGCACATCACAAGTCAGAAAATACGCGTGGTCGTGTACCGCCACTTAACTTATTATCAGTGCCGTAACTTCTAAGACATATTTTATTTTTTGGAATTAAGTATTTGATATTTGTCAGTTTTCCCTTAAGAATTAAATGAAAATAACTAAAATATCGCGAATATTAATTATTTCACGTAAATTTCCTGGTACTTTAAAAGTTTGGATGCAAAATAAATCAAAATTTGAATTGTTTAATCAGTCAATGCATATGCTGATGATTTAATTGACTAGGAAGATGTAGGCAATTGTCCTTTGTAACTCAATATCATAAAATATTCTCCCAGCGCGCAATCCGAGTCACCCAATACCATCAGCACATTAATGCGCAAAAAACAAACCCTCGATCTTTATATTAACACTTAATGGATGTAGGACAGGAGAATCACAGCCTGTGAAATACACCCCAGGTCCCTATCTCATATTCAAATGTCCTCTTTATAGTTACTTACTTACCCCAATGACAGTCCCTTTTTTTGCCTCCTCGTTTTATTATAATCAACAAGAGTGTTACTCTACATTCATAAATTTAAAACTGAAATTAAAAAAAAGTCATTTATGATGTAGGAATATAAAATAATTAACACAACATTAATCATAATATTAATAATATATTTAATTGGTTCCAAACAACAATCATCAGACAATATCTATCAAAATATCAGTGCACTTTTTTACATAGTAATGTTTATCTTTGTTCTTGTATTTTGGATTCTATATTTATACATATCTATTGATAGCGCATTGTAAAATACATATTTTATATAATTCGTCACACGGATATACACAATAAATCTATTAGGTATATTATATGAGCACATTATATTCATAGTAAAGTATTGCTGAGAAAAAAATATAAAAAATAAAAATAAAAGTAAACAATATGTGATATTTCAATATGAATACATGTGTAATAGGTTTTAGTTTAATGTGTATTTACAATGATTCATTAAACATATTGATAGATGCAATAATTGCAACTAAATACTATGAGGTAGATGGTGAACACTATAATAACATATAGATAATTAGTTCAAAACTAAATTTTCAACATTTCAAATTCTCTTATTTCCATTAGTTTACGAGATCCAATTTGCATATTTTGCCATCAGTCTTAAAAATAAACGTAATCGTAACAAATTAAATACTAATTATTTATGTTGAGCGAATAATGAATGTGATTGAGAGCAAATTTAAAGTTTTAAGCGGAAATATTTTGATTGGTTTATTGGAATGTTCTTTTATATCAAACACTATGTATTTTCATGTTACTAAAAGTCAAAGGCACGTTGTGTGAAATTTCATATTCATATTGCAACGTTTGTTTATATTTTGGTCACACACTACTTCATTAAATTCAGTTCTCCTAGTATTTTCTCAACAGGCACAAGAATAGATCAATGAAATGTGCGATTTTATTAATTTAACAACATGATATAAGTACCTAGAATTCAATTAATTATTTTTTATGAAATTTCAAGAATTAAAACTTTTAATTAGAACAAAACGCCGATTCAGTCTTGGAAAATATTGCAGTTGTATTCAATTAAGTGCAAGTATCTATTAATTTTCTGCTACGCTCATTAATAATTAAGAAAATTTCCGATTCATGGAAACAACGTCAGTGAGCAAATCAGCACACTTTTGATTTATAGCGATATCATGTAAGCCCTTCACGCATGCGGTAAATATCAACCCTCGATAATAATTAAATGCTATTAAATGACATTTACTTTGATGGTGAACATAATTACTGACTTGACTTGAAACCTGACTTGTTATTATGTTTGCGATTTTCATTTCAACAAGTTGTTTGCATAGAAAATACAAAATGAAAAGAGTTCAGATGATTCTTTAAGTGATTTTATTAATATTCGTGTTCTCATATCGTCAATAATCAAATAGTTCGCAATATTCCATTTAGTCGAGTCAGTCTAATAAGAAATCACAGCTATGGGGTGGACAAAAACAAAATAAACATTACAATTACATGAAATTACAAATTAATAAAAGTACATAACTATTTTGTTCTTAGTTCTTAGCGCTAAGAAAACAATAACTGCAAAATGTGTGATTTGTAGGTTTCTGATGAAATTGTATAAATTTTAGGTACTTATAAATGACGTCAATGACAACAAAGTGCACTTTTGTGTGTGCACACATTACTTGTGTTGTTACGTGCAAGCGTATACACAAAAACACTCCATGAATAGTGAAAAGTTTCAAATTTGTATAACGCATGTTTTTTATATCTTGTTGCCTATTTATATCTAATATAACAATTTACAATCATTGCGCTTTTGTTCTTCTTCGTATCTATATCTTACATTAGAAGACAAAAAACATGAAATTTTCTGAGAGTAGAACGAAAAATAACCCAATACCAAAAATAAACAAGTCGAAAATAAAAATAAAAAGACCAAAGTACGACTAAAATATAATTTTATGTAATAAACGTATAGAAATGTGTGTGTTTAAAAAATACGAATAAAAACTAAGATAATCACATCGATTACAATTACAAATAGATACAATCTTGAAATTGAAATTTAATTTTTAGATTTTTTTTTCATTAAAATTTTACATCTTTCTTGAAAGATCAAAGTTGTTTGTCTTGTTTGTTTTGCGAAACAACAAGTTAGTACGTATTCCAAGCAAATTTTGCACCGGTATCATTTCATATTTGTGATAGGATTGTTTGTAGACCCGCTCTGATAAGTTTTATTTGACCAAATAAATGGATCGATAATATGTAATAATAGTACTTTTAATTAATTAATAATATTACGATTATGCAATAATTAATAATAATAGATAATAATAATAAAAACAAAACTACTACGTTTTTTTTTTTCTATCATTCAGTCTCATTATACAAATAAACGTGTTTGTCTTCGTATCATAATTTAATTCATTTTTCATCTAATTAATCAGTCTTAACAGTTACATATTCCGTTTACGTTCGAGGAACTTGTAGCAAACATGGTCCCGTGCTTTTGGTTCGTTCGTAATCATAATTCGTGTTCAGTTTTTGCAAAGAGTTTGCAAACAGTTGCAACAAATATATAGTTATAGAATATAGATATATGGCGCATTTTTGTGTTCATTTGTATTTTGTTCCATTCATCTAGATGCTAAAAAGTTCGTGTACGCTTAGACGCGAAAAAACAGGCACACATTAGTTTTGTAGGCACGTCGCAATATCGGCGCGGACGTGTTGTTTTGTCTCGATAAATCTATACATTACATATTTTTAGATATAATTACGCAGGGCCGCATTTGGAATCGTCTCTCGCTCTCGCCCTGCCCTGTCACACATTACTACATACTTGCATATCGTGTTCGTCTTACTTACATTACTTACAAGTTACAATGCTATTCTTTATAAACTATATCTCATTTTGGCGCCGCGAGCGCGCAAATGATTTGAGTACGGGTGGGGGCGTCGTAACCACAGATAAGAAATACATATTGCACTGATGTCAGTCTGGCATGCCATGCACGTTATGCAACCAAAATAAGAACAAAATCAAAATACAATGATATCAATGATATTGATTAATAATAAAAAGTAAAACTTTGTTTTGTGTTCTTTTTTCATCGTCGCATTTTATAATAATATTAATAATAATAATATTTGAAAACTTAACACTGGTTTTTTAAAACTTCAGTCAGCAGCAGTTCGTCTTCTAACGCTTTCCTAATCGTTTTACATTTTATTTCGTGTATTTTACGCTTACGCTTTTCGTTTTGAGTCTCTGCGATGCGACTATAATGCGAAGGCAACTTGTAATGCAGCGGCATGCGCATGCGCGCTAGCGCCTACTCGGTGTTGTCGCCGCTCACTGCCACCTCGCGGCGCATTTCCTCCATCAGTGTCTCTTTGAGCATTTCTTCCTTCTTGATAATCGAGGACATATTAATCGGCGGCATTATGACCTGTTTACGCCCGACTGAGAGGTCCTCCACGTGGTCGTTTTCGTCTTGGTCGTGGTCGTGGTCATGATCGTCGTGTTCATGTTCGTGATCATGCTCGCGATCACTGCTACCGCTGCCATTTGTCTCGCTGTGATTCGGATCGCTGCCAACAACTGGAGATGGCGGTAGGCTGTTCATGCGACTCATGTATTTGAGGTGATTAGGAGGTGGGCTGGTGGTACGTGCTGATGAATTGTTGTTTGGGCTGGTGTTGCGTCCACTCATGGCGGCATGTGCGGCAATCATCGCGGCCAGAGCTTCTTTATCATCTCGGGCGTCTAGGGCGTGTTGTAGTATACTACTGGCTTCCAAAAGACTTGAATTGTTATTAATGCTATGTTCATCTGAGTCCATTCCAAAAGGTGAGCTGGTACCACTGATACCATAGGGGAAACCAAGACTGCTGCCGTTGGTACCGCGTTTGAAGGGTCTTGAAGTGGTAATACCCAGTTTCTTGACTTTGTCGTACAGGGTTCTCGATGGCACACCATATTTACGCGCGGCTTGCAGGGCTGACATACCATTACGTACCGCATCAATTGCAGACATGATATCATTGCGGGTGTATTGCTTGTATCGCTTCCATTCTGGTTTGACATTGCTGGGCACATAGGTAGCAATACCGGACATGCCACTGGCATAGGGGGAATTCATACCCATCTTGGACTTCTCATCGTACTCCATGGAGATATCCGTGAAGGGCGATTGGGCGCCTTCGGAGGGCTCGTTTTTGATATGCTATCGTGGACAAAAGCAACAAGCAAATAAAAACGTGCTCCGAACGTGGAAAAATAAAAAAATCACAAAATTTTAACAAAAAAAAAACTTACCTTTTCGGGTAATTCTTCAACTCCATTCGAATTCACATTGTTGGGGCTTTCATCTGGATGGCACACAAGACTAACAGGTTGAGATGAGTCGGCTTGTCCAAGGACTGTCCGCAGGATAGGCGTATCGCGGCTCATGAGCAAACTGGACAGCTTCTTGCGTTTGAGCGGGTTCATATCTGTGCTACCAGCCTGGTAGCAACTGCTGAGCATCGCAACTGCTTGTGCTGCGGCAGCATTACTGCTGGGATGCTCGCTGGGGGAATGACTCGGATGAATCGGCAGACCACCAACTGGCCACATGGGGATATTCATCCGTGGGGAAGGTGAACTCTGTGATTCCATACTAGGGGTCGTGCTCTTTTTGTTGGTTCCTGGATACATGTAAGGGTTTGTCTTGTAACCACCAACGAAACCATTGGTGGAATGTGGTGGCGATTCAGCACTGCTGCTGTGTACTGTGGATTGATTATTGGATGTACTTGAGGTGCTCACGCCGGTGGGGCTTGGGTGGTTGGAGTCAGTCCTTGCGACATCGCTTGATTCACTGCCGCGCTTCTCCTCCACCAAACCTTTAACTTTCAGTGCTTCAGCCACTCGTAACAAATCAGCTAGTTGATTCTGGCCCACGTTTACCTCGCCGCGATACATGTACTCCAAAATGGCTTTGATATCCGAGTAGCGTACGTCCTTCAGGACCACCACCGGATGCTTGCATGGCAGGTCAGTGAAAAGGTTTTGAAAGTAAGGCGAGCAGGCGGCCAGGACCATTCGATGGCACTTTATTGGACTACCACCGTCGCAGACAAGCGTTACGTCTGTGAACGCTTCATTCTGCAGTAGCTCGTCGAAGACGGTCAGCAGGTTGGACTGGTGGTTGTTCCAGCGTAGGCAGTAGTGTTGCGCGTTGCTGTACATCGTGCCGGCTGGTTGGTATCTCGGACTTTGCGAACGCGCGATGTCAAAGTTTATTTTTGCGCCGCAAGTTTTTCGAAACTAAACAAAGCGCACTGCGAACAACAAGAACAAAATCAAAATTCGCGCACAATCAACAAACAACAACAACAGCGGCGAGCAAACATTTAATTATTTACTTAATTATTGTCTATATCATTCGGCGATAATAGTTACAAAGTTCTAGTTAACAATACGCACGTAAACATTTTGTTTTATTTTTAAAATTTATTTTAAAGTCCAAAAAATTTATTTTATTTTTTTTATTCGCGCACGTTTTTATTGTGATAAGTTTTTTAATGTTATTAAACTACCCCCGATTGCGGCGGAGCGTAGTGAGAGCGCACACCTCGACTAGACGATGTCAAGACGAGGACTAAAGCGCCTAGACAAAAATGCGCACATTCAAGGGCCGGATAGTGCGGCTCGGTCCGCGGCGCTTCTCAACCCCGGCCCGTAGCAGAAACCTACCCCTACTCTCGGCGATTGGCCAATTTTTCCCTTTTGGACGAATTTGTGCGCGCACCACCCCCCGCGCACGTCTCCAACTACCCCCTCGCGCGACGCCACTCGACAGCCACCACCGAAACCACAAACAAATTCTATCTATAGACTTAGATAATCTACCGAGTGATTCGCAATAAAATTAAATCTAAAATTTTAAATAATTTTTTTAAAACTTTTTTTTTATAAATAAAAAAATTTTTGTTTTTTTGAAATTTTGCTTGTGGCTAAATGGATTTTTGTTGGGGAGGGTTGGCAAACAGATGAAAAAAGTGCGCGTCCAATCGCTAATTACAATGCTTTCCGATACAAACATATCAAGCTGTTCGGTCCGCAATCGATAAGCGAAAAATCGTTTCCTATTGGAATTCCAATTCACATTCACCCACAACGCGTGCAACGCCCAGAACGCGTTTTCGGCACTTTGCGCACAGGATATTTCTACTTCTACTAATTACGCGCGTACACGTCATCCACGCAAGAAACACAAAGACCACGACGCGTCAAATCTAAATTAAAAATCGCATTAATACATATGACGTTTGCGCATTGTGCACCTTGCACCTTGTACGAAGAAGTGAAATTCGAACGCGCGCATCGCATTGTATCGCATATTGTCACTGCACCGAAATGCAGTCGTTATATCTTCGAAAATGAAACCTGTTTAATGTCGGGCTGCATTGTTGCGCACTAATCGGTACTTTTGTGCGTCCGCATCGCCGGTGCGAATGCGTTTTATTGACGGCGATAGAGAATAGGCGACACGCACACGAAAAGGTCTCGGAAAACACGACGCACAAAACAAAACACACGCACACCTGAAATGCATATGTGTAAATGCATTGATGCGTTTTTCGAGGGCTCGGGGGTTAGGGTTCCCGAAAACTTTACGATGCTATTTCTATATTTTGCCTAGCGGGGTGGGGTTGTGAATATATTATGCTAATAAAAGCCCCTTTTCGTTATGTTTAAAGCTCATTTCCGGGCTTGGGACGCACCATATTTTTTTTTGCTTTGCTAAAACTATGTTTCGAAAAAGGTGCGCATCATTTGCATAATTTTTTTGTTTAAGATAAATTTTGCATTTGCATTTCTTAATTTTTTGCTCGCTTTTAATTTAAATATTTGTTTTCTCACGCTGTGTTGCTTTAAAATATTATTTATAAAAAAAATCATGTAAAACTTACGTTGTAAAATTTAAACCAATACTATAGCACTTATTATAAACACTAACTTTTCAGTCTGCAAACATTGCTCTTGCTCACATTGAGAAAATTAACATTTTTGCGAATTGTTTTAAATTAAGTACAAGTACGCACTCCGCGTCGGTCGTTCGAATTTCGGCTGCTGATGGCAGATCGAATTTGTGTCGTAGGATCGCGGCGTCGTTCTGCGTCAAATTTCGGGCGCAATGCATGTGAACCGCTATCTAAAATGCGACTGACTGTTCCGAAATGCACGCACCGTGCGCGCACACTTTTTACACACGCACACACTCACACCCGCGAGTCTAGGCTAGGCCCACTTTGGCCCTATGCGTTTCGCGTCTATGCGCGAGACGAGACACCAACAACACCAAACTTCTACACACACACAGACAGAAAATATACAACAGCGGTGGCAGCGCAGCGCGCCCGAACCCACACGCAACTTTTCCCAAAAAGTTCGCCGCGCACAGTGCTGCGTTTCTTTCTAGCCGCTAGATTACTATTACGGATGGCGTATGCACCGTGTGCGTCTAGGCGCGTCTAGGCGCACGCACACTCACGCACACCGTTCACGCTCGGCTAGACACAGACGGACGAAATGCACGCACGAAAATTTCGGCAGTCGCCGCAGTACCAGCAGCGGTGTGCAGACAGAGACGACACGCTAGCAGTAAAGACCAAAGACCGAAAAAGAAACGCGCGGAGGAAGCAAGTTTGCACCCGCCAGCGCACCCGCACCGCCGATTCTGGAAAATGTTTATATCGAAACTCCCGCATTCGCTCGTGGGGGGTGGTTGTTCGTGTGCACGTGCGCAACCACCAACCGAATGTGTGGGAATAGCGAAAACTTGCGTGCGGGGGTGCGGCTTGCCGGCGGTCAATGCAATAATCCTGCATTCTGATCGCCACGAGTGGGGATGCACCGGACATCGACAATATCAAACAATGCAAGGACAATATGTCGCTAAAAATCAAAATTTTTATTCCACTTTTAAGTTCTCTGAACATTTACGCCAAGAATTGATTATTTCTTTGTGTGTGAGTGTGTGTTTGTTATAAAATAGAAGAAGCGCTATAAAAATGCAGCCAAAGGTGGTTGTCCTTGGCCACAAAACCACATACGCTGTGCGTGCGTCCGAAAAAAAAAGGTACACCAACCAAACTTGGCTCTGTTGATTGCGTAGAAAAACGCACACGCATTTTCTGGCCGCCACGACACTAGCGTCCCTGCGCTGCGGGTAGAATTTTTCGACCGACTTCTTCACATCTTCACGTCTTTCAAGGTCTCCGAAGATGTATATTATACATGTATGCGTGCATGCACACACCCAAAAAAAGCGACTTGCTTGGCTGCTTAGCGTTTTATTGATGCAAAGCGCAGGGCACTGCTGGATTCTAGAATGTTTCAAAGAAAGCCATGTCAAGTCGTGTCAAGGTCTTGCAGCTTTCTTCTAATATCCCCAAGAAATTAAAAAACAACAAACTTTAGGTTTTGTATTTTTTCTTATTGCGAGTAAAAATCATGTATAAACATTGTGGAATAAATATAAAATGGTGGTGGAGGCGGCTGGGGGCGGTTCCTGCTAGCGAAATGCGCAAATTTGCGCTCCTAAACTGCGCATGTAGCAGGAAGATGCGTTACTATAGGTGGATGATCTGCGCGTGCCTTACACACCCCCTACTAGTGCAAAATAAAACAATCCACATAAAAATTATCTATTTTCACAGTAAAATATTGACTGTATTGATTATTTTCTGTTATTTTAAAGCTCCATGTGTGTTTGGTAAAAGTTTTTGGGCATTTCCGTGCTTGTAATTTCCAAAAATGCAATGAATGCTAAAAAATAGGGTTGTATGCATGCGATGTACGTTACAAGGGGTGCGTTCGCAATGACTAATGAAAATATACTCGCCGTTTCGTGCGCGCAACCTCCCGCACCCCCGAAAAAAAAAAACACAAGCCGAATTATCCACGCGCACACCGTACCGCACGGTGAATTATTGCGGGTTGAGTTTTAGTGCGTATTTTCGGACGTTTTGGTCACGTGAAGCGGTTTTATGCATTCTGCAAGTCTCCCCTGAGGGATGAAGAAAGCCGGACTTTTCGGCTATGCAATACACAGAAAAAATATGAACCGGACTCGCGGTTATCGGCGTAATCTCGCACGCGAATCGCAAAGTGCGTGTGCGAGGAGGCAAAAGTTTGTTTGATGGTGGTTCACCCCTTATATTAGCGCCACAATGCCACAATATAGTTAGCAATTCTTATTGCACCCTCCCAAAATGTAGTATATCTTATTATTTACATGAATGAAGTCTAATTAGTGTGGAGTTAATTAAATTGCAACAGGAATTTAATTTTATCGTAAAATTTTGATGTTTTTTTTACTAAAAATACAAAAAAATCTAAAAATACTTGAGTGGGCGACCCTTAATTTGATGGAAAAATATGCCCCAGTAAAATGGAAGCACGATGATCAAATATATCCGATTCGAACAATAAGTTTTCGATACGATGCATACGATAAATAGTACGGGGTCGAGTATAATTAGTAGTATTCCGGTTTCTGTATGTATTCCGCTTGTCTGCTTTGTAGTTTTCGACATTTTCGAATGTCGAATCGAATTGTTTGGTTTGCATGTCCGTGTCGCGGGCGGGCCGCGAGGGTTTCCTTCGTTGGCGGATTCCCGTAAATATTTAACGAGTCCGAAAAATATTCGTTGCGTGCGTCAATAATGAACGACGCAATTGTCGAACTTCACTCATCATTATTTCACAACGCGCGCTCTTTTCCTATTACTACGATGAACGTGCATAACACCAGAGAGACAAGCCGCAATTTCCCTACAATAAAACTAAAATAATCTCATGTAGGTAAAGGTAAAGATTATGTCATTGTTAAAATAAGAAACTGAATGAAAATTTATTATTTAGATAATTTTGGTGGATGCGCTTTTAAAATTAGTGAATTTTTAGATTTTAGATTATTTGGAGTAAATGTGTGGTTGTTTGGTCAAAATAAAATAAAATATCTTGCAGAGATAAAAACGGCATGAATACACTCATTTTACGCACACCGGAAACGGAAGTTCGCCGCGTTTCAAAAATATCTACGCACTGTGTGCGCTGTCGTTTTGACGTGATAAAATTGCAACCCAGCAAACACTGCATGAAAAAATATGCACCCAAACGGAACGAATAAGATAGCAACGAGCGGCTGAGTATGTCGATGACGTTCGTCAGTGCCATCAATTTGTAATTTTGTGCGTTGTTTTCGTTTGGCATTTACAGTTCGTTCGCATTGGAAGCGCCACGTGTGGCCAAAATTCATTGTTAATGCAATCGCGAACGAAAATTACACCCCATTAAGCCGCTGGCCGCTGGAGTGGACATCGCCGACGTTCCTATAACCCAGTAAAATCAATGAATAATTGATTGCGTATTTTCCGAAACGCTACGCAATACGCACGGTTCATAAACGCACGCGACACGCCAACCCGCCGCTGGCTTATTCATAACCTCACTTTGTGCCTCCGCGCACACCGCGAATGGCGTCATCCATATGAAATTAGAGGGCTAAAATTACCAAATTGTAGGTAAGACATGATTAAACATGCATACATGACATTTAAAAGAATATTCTTATCATTCAACCAGCACAAACTAAAAAATATTGTCTTGTACCCAGTAGAATGAATCATTCGTGATAATATCACGAAAAAATGTAATAAAAAGTTCAACGAACGTGTTTTTCAAATAACAATAAATGCAGAAGATTTTTTTGTGGCATTTTTAGTAACATATATTAAGGTTTAAACTTTGATAGACATTTATCGCTGGTTGAACATTCCACGCGCCGAATTTGAACGGTACCTTAAATAAATCTTCGTTGCCGCTGACCACTTTTATCGTTATCATGCAGACCACATGCGTGTGCCGCTCAAAAAACTCTCCCCACAAAAAAGGGCAATGCCCATGTATAACGTAATTGCGATTTATTTAAGTGCCATTAAATGACATATGTGTCCGAATTGGGCAAAACGTCGTAAAAAGGGTGTTTTATCAGTGCATGTGCAGGTTTTGAGCGAAAATTCAAAGACAAAAATTTGAGTGCTTCGAATGCAATCGAAGGTTATATACATTTCCGATTGATTGCACGACGCTCGAAAAAGCGGGCGCACAAAAAATTGATTGTTAATATCCAAAGTTCAAAAGTCACAACTTGGCTGCCGATATATGTGCATGCCACTGATTAACGCGTCGGCCATTAAAACACACGCACATTCAACTAAACAACAAGAGATCGCTTCTTCGTCGCCGGCAGTGCCAAAGTGCCGATCTAATTATTACATGGAAAGTTTTTATTTTAATTTTAAAATCGTATTTAGTATTAGTTCTGTGAGTTCTTGGTGATGCGGGCTTAGAAATAAAAACACGCTTAGTAAGCATAAGCTAATTGTGATAGAACTAGTGTTTGAAGTCTGATGTTTGCACAGAAAGCAAGCATCGTTATCAGTCATTGATACCGCTCCAGACGACGATTGCATAAATCCTCTACAGTTCCACACACATGATCGGCGTACGTTTTTCTCGCTTTTTGCCCGCGGTGCATGTGTGCTGCAGTCTGCACAACGCAGAACGAGCGTTGAGAACGAGATCATCTCTCAATACTCACTTGTTTGCTCGTTTGTTGTTTGGATAGCCACATTAGACCGAAATAAAAATTGTAGCGTATATTATTGTGTTGTGAGCTGTGTGCATTCAGCGATAGCTCGCGAAACAAAAAGTCTGAAATATTGTCATTTGTTGGTGCGTTACTGGAGTTGATTAAACTCACCCGTCCTTCAGAGCGCTGTGGTCCCTTTATGTCTTCATCCCGGGTGCATCGCGCCGGCCAGACGACGCGCAGAATCGCGTGTGTGCATTAATTACGGACGCCGCCCGACGCGAATTTTTATTGCGCGCATCCGGTGCGTTGATCTCTATTCCAATGTCTACGCATAAAATACGCACACACTCACACAATGTTTTGCAAAGTTTTGCTAGCGATTGGTTGCAAATTGACCACTCACAGTAGAGACGCACAGGTAAACTCGTCGTCCTTGCGTGGCGATGGAACACACCTTGCGTCCTTGTGAAGAATTCGCACTTCTCACTCCTTCTCGCTAACTCTTTCTTCTTAGTTCATTCACAAGTTGTGGCGTGCGCGACTCGCGAAACTCGTCGGCCAATCGGTGGGCGAAATTCGCGTGCGTCTGCAGAGGCGCGCCAGGACATTGACAGTGGATGTTGTTGTCGTCGGCGTGCCGCGACTCCTGACCAGCCGCAACATTGCGAAAGTTGTCCGCGGCGCGATGCGTGCTGAGCTGCGGCGCGCATTGCGAAAAGGCGTCGATGCGATTGGCTCGAGATAGAGTTGGATAGAGGTCGTGGTGGAGGGCTTCAGGGGGCGCCGCGGCACTCAGAGCAGCAGGAGGCGAGGCAGGATTCGCGAGTCGAGCCGAACCACAACTCGCACATTGTGTTCACATCGCACGCGAACGAGCCAACGGGTTTTGCGAGCCGCATTCGCAAGCCGACTCGCGAATTGCGAACATCGCGTGGAATAAATTCGCGACGCAAAAAACGCTCTATTATTCAATCTAACAAAAAAGTGTTGAAATTTTTACAAAAATTGCAAAGTTTTTCGTGATTTTTCTGTTTTTTACTCCATATTTTTGAAGATTTTGTGTGAAAATTGAATTACAACACTCAAAACTTTGGATTTGTCATATTTTACTGGAAATTTGCGACGTTTTGGTGATTTTCTGTATTTTTACCGCGGATTTTAGAAGATTTTGTGCCAAAATTGGATTACAACCTTTATAACCTTGGATATTATAAAAATGCAACGTCAAATTCAAGGATTTTGTGCTGTGAACGACACTTTTCAAGGATTATTAAGTTGAATTAATGAATAAGTTTACTTGAGTGCGTTAAAAAAATAAAGTTTTAACTGAAAGTGTAATTTTTACATCATCATCATCATTATTCGCCCTCTTTTTGTTCCTTTTTGGCAGTTTTTGGCGTTTTAATACAAAACACGTGTGCGATATGTGTGTGCGGAGGGTGAAGAAAAGTGTAAAAAAAACTCAGCACGAGCAAAAACGCCCCGACGCGCGTATTAGTATTAACTCGTATCGGTTACGAGCGCTGTTTTTTGTGCGATTCCCATAGTGTTGTCTCTGTGCGCAGCCATAGTAAGGCATCAAAAACGCTGTTAGGATGTTAGGAAACCCGCCAACATACACCCGCATATTGCCGCTTGCACATGCTGCACGTGGGGTGGCCGAACAGACGCGCGCATCTTTATCGCAGAAAACGCCGAAAAACACAAGGGGAGACTTTTTTCGTCGCGTAACCGACACGACTAATTTTACCCACAGCGGAAAACGCACGAAACAAAAGAACATTTTGTTACACAATATATTTTAATTTTAAACAACAGCCGCAACCTTGAATAATAAATTTATTGGTGTCAACAGTGAATCAAAGCGAAAATATTGACGTGTGTAATTACAATACTTAACTTAAACGAAAAACAAACGCGCATCATTATCAGCAGTCAAATTATATTCCGCGTTTATCGATCAATAAATAACACGAATTTGTGCGATTTGTGTGCGTTCAAACACGTCTAGACACGATAAACAAATTAAATTCAATAATTACGTGTTTAAATATTGTTTCAAAATTAATTCCGAGCAAATGTCAGAGACAACAGTTGTGTTGCAACAACGACATGTGATGAACGAAAATTGTCTACTCATGCGGAAACGAAGAAAGACAGAAGTGCATCGTTGACCTAGATTTTGCCAAGTATATAATCTACGTCTACCTAGATCTAATAATATCAAGGGTGTAAAAGGGTTGCGAACATATTTTAAATTCGACCTGCCGTTTTTTATTACTTTTGTCTGAGTTTAGGTTTTTTTCAAAAACAGCAGGTGCTTATTGTTTGGCCAAGAGACCTACTTTTGTATAATTCACCAGCGAAACCGTCCATCAGGCTTGTCTACAAGACAGCAACCCCTTCAGGTGGCCGTGGAAGGAAAAAAAATAAAGATGCAATTCACGATTTTATTCCGCGCAGACTATTAATCAAGCTTTTATAAGGCATGTGTGTTAAGTCAGACTGTGTGTGTGGTGTTTGTTTTCGAGTGACAATACATCCGCCATCTTGTCTTTCTCATCGCGCGCGTATGTAAATCTCTCTCGACCCTTTTTCGGGCTGTACGCTTCGCGGTGGCGGGTTAACGACCCAGCCTAATCTCAGACGTATTGAACTGTTAAAGGTCCACTTGGTTTCGAAATAGACGCCGTGGTCGTGATTACGGCGTGCCACTGCCATTGCGCATGCATCATCGAAGAGAGAGTCAACGCCGGACGGGTTGATCATCTACACTTTAGACCAGAGAGAAAGAAGACACGGAGCGTTAACACGCCGCGAAGGTCACTCAAGTGGCAACACCGCACAACTTCCGCTTAAATCTTCACTGCATAATATCAGCGTCAAGTGCCACATAACCAAAAACCATCTAATCCTTCAAGTGCGTTACAGTAGGGCTTTTGTGCTCGTTTTCCAGACGTGAAACTTGTTGAATTTGGCGTCGCCGGTTGTAATTTTGTATTTTTTACGAGGTTCTAAATTATTTATGCAATCAAATAAGTCTGAAGCTGTCTAAAGGGTTGTTTAGGTTGGATTTTTACGCGTTTCGCATAAATTTCAGAGTCCGGCCGCTGGACCCTTTTTTTACTGCGTGCCCCTTTTTTATGTTTCGCCGACAATGAAAAAATATGCGCATTTTTATGGCTGAGAAGACATTTTTCGGCAAATGTATCCTTTCATCGTAAAAAAACGTATAAAAAGTTTTTGATGTGAGAATTGAAAATTTGCACTTTTCAACTTGAAATATTTGTCAACGCTCACCCTCGCCATATCAGTAACACCGGAATAACAAAACTTCAAATCCAAACACGTCTGAGGGGTCGCCGCAGACCTAAATCAACAAGTGTTGCGCTGCGTCGCTAGAAAAATTATAATTTTTTGCCTGTTTTTTGCTGCCCGTCCGGTATCACCACCGGAGATCAGCGTAGATTGCGTGTGGTGTTTGCTGTTGCAGTCGGGCGCGATGATGATGGGAAGAATTTCACGCCCCCTTATCGTCTATTATGCGATGATGGAAACGTCTAAATTTCACCAACGCTGACTTTGAACCTGAGAATCCAGCCAAGTTGAGATTTCTAAGCGAAACGTCAAGTTGAAGACGTTATTAATGAATTATTAAACGTGCGCTAATGGTTTTTATGCTATAATGTGCAAAACCTGTGTTTTTTCGTTTTTAAAATGATCATTTTTCTTGTTTAACTTGAAAGATGTCTAAATTAAAACGTCTGGTGTAAAATCTTTGGCAAGAAGCGTGAAAAACGTAAAACATGTTTGAATGATAAATGATAAATGATAAAATATTACTTTATTTAAATTCGGCGTATTATTGAATATAAAATAAACGATTGAGTGATTACCCCTAGTTGATGTTGTCAGATGTGTTGTAATCATAAGTACATTCTAGGAAAACAGGTAGCGACCCTTTTCGCAACATGCTATAATTTGAAGGTGCGAGGGTGAAATTTGCATTTTCTAGTCATTCATGAAGTTTGCACACGCAAAGACCATACTTTTGAATAGGGGAGGCACACCCTATATCGTAATCATCTATTGTAGTGACAAGAATGCTTTATATTGCGAAATATTCTCAATAATGCTAAAAAATTAGTTAATTTGATAATTATCATTGTAAAACCTAATAAAACTAGTGATAAACTTGATTAACTTTTGTAATTATTACTTTTTTATGTTTTCCTTTGTCTGGAAAACATAATAAAATACATTTTACATTTTATTTAATCAAAACGCACAGAATTTACGTTTTTCACTAAAAAAAATCTCAAAACTTTTGATGTAAACGCGTTTGTTGAGTATAAATGCACATGTGGTTTAAGCGCATGTGGATGATCGAGTTAAAGCGTTCAAAGAAAGGGTTCTGGCACTAATGCACGGATGCGCAGAGTGTTAAGGTACATTAGCAACCCTTTGAGTAAATTTCCTTCTTTTTTCATCCATGTGAAATCTTACTACTTGTATGCAGACGCTTCAAGGGTTTTAAAAGCTGTGTATGTATTTTCCTAAAAAAGATCAAGCGTAAAATGTGATATCTAAAAAATATCCAAAAGCATAGGCGAAACTAAAGATTAAATTAGGTCAAAATATTTTTTATTTTTCAGTAATATAAACGGAACAATGCTTCATTTACAAATTTGTAAGTTTATACATTTAATCAGGGTGTAGAAAAATACCAAAATGTGTACAGGAAGTTTTAATCCATCAGATTTTTTGGCTTTTTTATTTGGCATACAAAAATTCCACTGGTTCCTGAACTGGTTGTGTGTTGCACCTGCAGACTGCAGCCTTTCTTCCTTGCGTGCGCGCTGCGCAAGCCGAAAAAAAAAATCTGAATTTCATTAGACATTAGATAATTACGAAGGAAAAGCTGCGTCCACAGCGATCGCGCGGCCAATTCGTAGATGGAGTAGACAAGTCGTAAGCGTAAGCAGCTGCCCCATATAAAGTTTCATCTATCTTATTACTCTGCTCGCTTGTGCGCTTGCTGGCTAGCTGCGTTGTGTCGTATAGTTAAGCATATATATAAGTATACGCGTTCTGATTGCGTTTGTGAAGTGTGCAAGTGTGCAGTTAAAATTAAAGTTGGTTATATGGAGTCAGGGTACCGCCATTCAACGCTTAAATGCGTATTAAAATTATATTTCGCTCTTTACGATCGGAGGCATAATTGCTTTTCGCTTTTTTCTCATGCGCTTGTAATGAATAAATTCGTGGAGATGGCAGCTAATTTATTGTCGGATTACATCTTGAAATTTTAATCATGCTAGTAAAGATATTTTGTGTTTTTTTTTTGCGGAAAATTGAATTTTTAGAAGAAAAAGTAGAAAAAAATGGTTTTTTGAAGTATTTTGATGGTAAATATTGCAAATTATAATGAATAAATTCATGGAGATGGTACCTAATTTATTGTTGAATTACATCTTGAAATTTTAATCATGATAGTGAAGATATTTTGTGTTTTATTGTGCGAAAAATTGATTTTTTTCAAAGGAAAAATGCAAAAAACTAAAGGTTTTCAAATGTTCTGTCGGTAAATTTTGCAAATTTTAATGAATAGATACGTGGAGATGGGAACTAATTTATTTTCGGATTACATCTTCAAATTTTAATCATTATTGAAAGAAATTTTGTGTTGTTTTTGGCGAAAAAATTATTTTTTTCTAAGAAAAAGTACAGAAAACTAAGTTTTTTCCAATGTTTTATCGGTAAATTTTGCAAATTTTAATGAATAAATTCGTGGTGATGGCAGCTAATTTATTGTCGGATCACATCTTCAAATTTTAATCATGATAGTGAAGATATTTTGTATTTTTTGTGTGAAAAAATGATTTTTTGGAAAGAAAAAGTTAAAAAACTAATTTTCTTTAAATATTTTGTTGGTAAATTTTGTTATTGTCACTTTTTAGATGTTTTTTCTTCCCAAATATTAACAAATCTTCCTAAAAAACATGAATTTTTGCCTTTCTCTATGCAAATTTAATCATTTTATTAAAAAAGTCCGTTTGCAATGTCCGTTGGCGGGACGTTGAACCTCCATGTGTCCACATGCGAGAAGAAATCAAAAAACGCACAATGATTACATTGTGAAAAATAAAAATCTAACAAGTTGCCCCCACGAGCCGCAAACCAGTTGCACCAGGACGAGTCCGCAGACAATCGCGCCCGACAATAGAAAGAAGAAGGTGCCTGCACGCACCTTGAGCGTCCCGAGCGCGTCCCGTTTGGGAATATGTGAATATGTGTATCATGCGGATTCGCGCACGCACTCGTAATTTACATACCAGTTTCGAAGAGTTCGTTGCCGCCGTGTGTAAATGTTACGGGGACACTGTTGCGGGGCGACGTGCCCAACGTACGAATATCGCACGCATCGGTTTCCCAAACGGGGCCGATGCGAACTTTTTCTATACATACACACACACAATGAAATAAATCACGATTTACATTTACACTCTGCTTATGAATGCGTAGAATAAATTACGAGCGCGAATGACGGAGATTTCCAGCGTAATTCGTTTGCGTACGTGCGTCAAAATTAAGACTTTCGAGTTCAAGATTTGCATTTCAAGGATATTCGTGCAATGTCAACTACATTGTACGTTTATTTACTAACAAGATACAAAAATGTGTGTTTTTTTAGAATTTGGATCAATATCGACACATTTTTATTTTATTTTGCATTGTTTTGCCTTTTTAGAAAAGTAGGTTAACGTCACAATACGAATTGATCACTTAACTGAACAGTTTAAACAACTTGATGATACAATTCTTAATTTTCTTAATTGATTCACCCTAGAAGCGGTTCTTTTCGTTGTGTTTTGGTCATTTTCTACTTGTTATCAACAGAAAGTGCGATTAAACATCGCAAGAAACAAAAGAAACAAGTTGTCAGGATGTCGGGTCGATATGAGAATTGCCATTAAGTCGAATTGCTCGTCACGTCGTAGTGGTGAAGAAGGTGAGGGTGTTATGGCAAGTATTGAATATTAGCATTAATGCATATTCGATTTTTCATTAGCGCGCACCTGCGGTGCGCTTAAAAATAGCAGCGTATGAAAAGACGAGCAATTTTGTCTGGCTACGTGTTATCGTAATGGCCGATTTTCGTGTTTGCGTCGTCCACCACGAACGCGTTTCTTTTATTATTCATTATTGCAGCAAGTGACATCGAAGACAGCAAATTGCTTCGGCACATATTGATTTCTCGTTAGAATGATAACACATCGTATTTGTGAAAAAAAGGCAACGAAGACATTCTGGAAAAGAAACGAATTAAAATCAACTCGGTGTCCTTGAATCTAGTATCTAGCAACTTGAGTAGAAGTTTAAGTATTCCTTGCTAGCTGAGTATACTGCGGCGACGCTAACAAAAGGGAGCAAAAAACTCATCTTGCAAGAAACGAGACTTCCTTGTTCGAGATGTGCGCTTGTGAACCAACCACGGAGCGCATCGTGTGTGCCCTTGGTTTTGGTTTTATAACCGTTTCTCGCCCGCGCCCCGCGCACAAACTCCACCCAAAAAACGTCTATGAATAATACCAGACCGCAGCTTCACTTCACATCGCGCAGCGCGCTAAGCCTTTACTTGAGTGTGTTTTTTTTTTTTCTTTTAGGGCCGAAAACAGGTCTGCGATAGACGATGGATGCAGCAAACGCACGCACATTGCAAGCAATCTTATTGGACACAAAGTGAAAAAAGAAAAAATCAAAAAATCTTTTTCCACAGCGGAAAAAGCAAAAAATACAATATTTATAACATAATCTAACCTCAAATTACAAAAATTGTGGATGATTTTGTTTGTCGCATTGTACTATTACATTGAATTAAACTGAAATCGTCATTTCAAGGACGTGAAGTCTGGAAACGCTCGAAATAAAATCAAATCAAATCCAAACACGAACTTGACGAACTTAAACACTGACCAACGCGCGAGGCTCTCAAGTGATGACCAAAACGTCTTCAATACTTAAAAATTGGATGTGCCGTTATGTTGATTCGTCTTCAAACGTCATTCACACTTTATACAAAGTGTTCCATTAAAATCAAACAAAATCAACATAAATTTCTTCATTTTATTATTGAAGTAAAATATTTCCGAACACTTACAGCGAGTAAACAGAATCTATTCTATCCGCTAATAAGATTTACATATTGTGTAGAAAAAAGAAACCTTGGACCAGATTCCCTCTGGTTCTCTTTCAATCTTCCAAAGTAGTTTTAAGCACGCATGAACGCGATCATGCTCACTGCGGATGGCGAAGTTAATTGAACCAAAGATGCCAGCCAAGCCTTTCATTATCAAATTAAATATTATTCTAAAGTTAGCTTTTCTATATCCACTGGTAATTGAATCTAGTATCTAGCATTTTACCATTTAACAGTTTTAACAGTCTCGTCGAAATAATTTGGTTACGGTCATCGATATCTCCAAATTGCAAAACCTTGACTTTCTTTTTACGAGCGCATTTCGTAAACAAGTTATTTATACCTAATAATTATAAGTTGAAAATATTTATGCCAATTTTATACAGTGTGTTTTATATAGGTAATACTTAGGTTTTGTCCCGATAGTGTTTAATAAAAATGTAATTTATTTTTACTCTCTTGTTTTGGACATAGTATGTGTCCATTCAATCAATAAGATTCGCAATTTTATTTTAAAGAAATTAATTATATAAAGAATTGCTAATAATGCACTTCAGCGCGACATCTCGGATTCAACTATTTAACTATAACTATGATTAAATCTCAATGCCAACTTTTATCCTATAGAAAAGGGCTGTCTTTAGGCTTTTCCCGGCAATTATTCGAATTTTTCTTGCCGTAAAAACCATCCTTGGACTTTTACAAACAATATAGAAAAAGAATTGGCCAAATTGATCTAAGCGTTGTTGAGTTATGCGCTTACCAACACATTTTACAATTCATTTTAATATTATAGATAATTCAACATAATAAAAAACATTACATGCTTACTCATTTTGTATTTAATTCAACATTTCATACCAGTAACTGTTACTAAAAGAAATTTATGGTATTTATTTTCTAAGACACGTTATACGCCCCTCGATAAAACAACTTTTTACGGCTTCAATTCATTCGCGAGTTGATATCAACTGCAATTGTTTGTGGGGTGAGGGTCCT